CGCTCTTATAAAGACATGAATTACTTATATATTCGCGTGTACAGAACTATGGCGAAATATTTCTGTATCAAAAAATTTGATCTTATAAAATACTTTCTACGGATTGATTATCGCACGAACGGGCTCTCTCAAGCGGCTTCCGATTTTTACACATATAAAAACTCGACGATACAGATGCTCTCCGTAAATTGAAAAAGTCGTGAAATCTTCGCGTGTATGTCAAAACGCGAAAAACGCGATACAAATCGAGATATAAAACTACATCAGCTACGCAACCTCGAAAAGGTTCGGCTAGTCATTACTGAAGATTCCATCGGTGATCACAAACGCGAAGCTACGCACGATATTGTTCTTCGTCATTGGCTAGCGTGATGATCTTGACGAATATGTTTAACGCGCATTTCGCTTTCTCCTCGATCGGCGACATGAGATAATTACGCATATCTGGATCGTAACGTCCCCGGTTCAATTCTAGAAATTGGATACTTAATATAAGAAATAAAACCGCCAAGATGAACAAGCCAAGCAAATATACGGATAATTAATACGTGCAACGTTCCTCTTGACAGCTATATTTAAAGTATCCAAAGTACTTGTTTTTTTCTATCTAGACTCTAGAATCTCCTGACAATCGATAATTATCGGAGAATTTCGCAATATCTCCCTCAATTTTCATCTTTATCTGACTCTTGGATCGATGTTTCTCGGTTTTACTCCGTCGTCGAACGAAAAAGTAACGCATTAAAACGAGATCTCGCGTTCTCGTTATTAGGTTTCGCTCCGACGATGGGCGAGAAAGAGTCATCATTACGTAATTCTCATCGGATACAATCGACGAACATAAGGATGATCGTTATCGTCGCATCTAAATCGTATGATACAACTACACGTACAGCACATCAAGTCGATATACCGATGTAAATGGTCGCGTATATACTCAGTTTATATACATATATACCTATGCACAAGGGATGTGATCGCAATAGTTGCATGAAGAAGGATGAAGTTGATTTTTCCTTCTTTTTTTCGTTATAAAAACACTCTCGCTGGGAAAAAAAACAATCGGGGAGAAGATCCGTTTCCAGTTTCAAACTGAGATCAATTCCACTTCGCGGTGGCTTTCCCTCTGAGCGCGCGCTGCAGTTTATACATTATAGAATATAATTATATATTCCTGTCGCGTTATCATAATCTTTGGGAATATAATCCAAATCTTTAAATAAGCTCTTTATCTCAAAACAGTGAACGAACAAAAAGTTGTGAGATGAAAAATACATATATATTATATTTATTATCTTTTTTTCAAGCAAATTATATCAGAGATTACGATACGCGCATCGTAAAATATTTATTTGCCATCCTTGAAGAGCAAATATTAAACTTGGATAAATTAGATGTCGGGTCACTCAATTATATTCGGAGATGATCACCGACTTGGACCGAAAATCAAACTTGAGAATATTCGAACGGATCATCCGCACATATAGATTACTTCTTTTATATTTAGATTACTTTTTTTACTTTATAATATTTATCACACATCCAAGTATACTTGAGAGAATCGCAGACGCAGAGGCAGTTAGCGGTTATGAAATATGCGCAACAAAAAGAACTTGCGATTCTGCATAAAATCGCGACTCGTAAGATTTCGACTCTTCGATTCGCGCATTGTGCGTTTTGTCGCATTGCTGTTCTTTTTTATCGCTTCTTCGTTTTCCCTGCGCGATCCTTGGATTACTGGAACGCATGGGCTTACGATTTATATCACATCCTCTGTATGTGTGGCAGTATTCCTTGTGTGTTCGAATCTCTGTCGCGGACTCGAGTTCAATTCGTTGCTTGGCTCGAAAGAGCATTCACATCACTCGGCTTCCGATTTAGCTTTGAACGGCAGTTCTGCTGTATAAGTTCAGGAGACCTTCCGATAAGGACGGTTCATCGACATTCATCCTTTTGTAATCCGTCAAGACATTCTCAAACTTCTCGCAATCTTATTACTGATCATTTGAATATCTTCTTCTGATTGAGAACACTCGTACTGTGTATGTGCGAACAAAGTCGTCCAGAATTAGATTGATAAATATTCTCTTTTTTAATTTTCATATCTGAACAATTTCTTCTCTTTTTAAAATTATCATTCTCCTAAAATTGATCAGCATAGAGCCCGGCAACAAAGTACGCAGCAAAACTATACAACCTTTTCTTTATCGGAGAAGCGTTCCTCCTCTTTTCTCCGTTAACGATTCTCCGAACAGCAAGGCGGAGCGAATGAATTCGATATATACCCGGCATCTCGGAAGAG